TAGCTTACACAGTTATGTCATTCATGAAGTCAGCAGGGTTGTGTGTTTTAGTAACCCTTACAACAGACATGGAACAAGTCAAAAAGCTTATTTCCCAAAAGAAAAAAGAAAAAAGAAAAAGAAAATACAGAATTATAGAACTCAACATGACAAAGAACTATTTTTATCCTAGGTGTTTAAAGTTCAAGGTGTAAAGCATGAGCATGATTCTTTTTTCCTTTTTTTTTTTTTTTAATGCTGATTAATGTCAAACTGGAATGCACTGGCCAAAGCAAAATAACAAGGTTTTTGTTTGTTTGTTTGTTTACACCATTTGAAGTCAGTACTGGAATAGTGTTGCTCTCTACGATTTAGTAACAAGACAGTGATCCACATAAGCAAACATTCTCACACAAACACGATGCTTTCTGCCACTCCTGCACTTTTACTTATCATTTTCCTCCCATTTCCTGCTTTTATCTGGCAAGCATTACAAACAAAAATTGTTACCTCCCAATGGATGAGATATTCCCCAATGTATAAAACACTGCAAAGAGAATCAGTCCTTTCTTTGGTATCCATAACAGACAGCTGCCCTAAAAAGAAACATAAATAAAAGCAGGGGTTATTCATGTTGCAAATGAAATATACCCAAGAAATATCTCAACACAAAAGAAGCACAAAGAAACTTTAAGTCCAGAGTGCATAAAGACACCGACTGTGTTTACTGACAAGCTTTATAAAAAATGAATGCTTTTCATCCCGCCAAAGCATCCAGAGAGGCTTGCAATGGAGCAAGGGCACACAATCAATCACCTCTGTGTATTTATCAGGGCTCTTCAGCCCCAAGCAGGAGGCTCGGGAGGGAAGGAGACCTAGGAAAAAAAAAAAAAAGTCCTTACCAAGAGAGAGCACAGACAGCCTATTGCAAAGCAGGCAACGAAGCCCTTCACTCTGGTGCCCCAGCTCAGTGAGGTTGCATCAATAACCTACAGACAGGAAAGGAGGAAAGAAAAAAAAAAAGGAAGAAAAAAAGTAGTTTACTGAATATGCTCTTGCCACATAGCAAGCTGTACATTTCCCCCAAGGCACTGACCTGCTTTGAACCTAAGCAGAGAACCCGCTTAAGCAGCGGCCTCTAAAGCCCCGCGGTAGGGCACTAGCGCGCGGGGCCTCGCCACCCCAACCGCCGCCAACYGCCGCCGCAGCGCCCCGCCCGCAGCCCGCACGGAGCGAGGGGAAGCGGGGCAAGGAGGCAGGTGCCGGGGAACGGGGCCGTTACCTCGGCGAGCCCGCTGGGCTCCTCGGCGTCCTGGCCCCGCAGCACCCGCTTCAGTTTGTCCATGCCGCCCGCCTTGGCCCTGCCCCGCGCCGGGACTACGAGTCCCGGCATGCACCGCGCCGCCGCGGCCCACCTGCGCCCGGCAGGTAAAGGGCGGAGCTGCTGCCGCAGGGGCTGCTGGGGCTTGTAGTCCGCGGGGCGAGCGCTGGGCGTGCCCTCCTCTGCGGGACGCGCGGAAGCCACGTCCGTGTCGCCAAGCGGCTCCCTCGTTTGATTTCGCTCCGACACAAACAGAACTACAAAACGTTGGGAAAATTTTATTCAGCAACATACATGAAAGCTTATAAACCGCCACCTGTTACACTCACCGCAGGACAGCTGGAGAATTCCCCCACTCCCTCCTCCCAATTTTGTATATCCGATGTATACATTTTCTTTTCACTCAAAAACGAACTCCAGAAAGCTTGCAATGCACCACTTKATTTTACAGCTTCTCCATAACCCACATATAACAACAGTCACAAGAAGTGCTCCAGGATTTACTTTCCAAAATAATCTTGTGATTTCTCCACCCTGCATGTTCCACTCAAATGCACAGCACCCAAAATAGATGGRTATCACTTATCCACACATTCAGAGATTTAAGTCCCATCAAGACAACGTATCAGCAGGTCACAAATCTGTAAGTGTGATGGRCAGCATAAAAAACACAATATAAGCTACACATGCACAGCACCCTTCTCGGCACTACGTGTCTTGTCTGTGCTGTGAGTTTCCTCCCACCACGGCCCCATCATGTTTAATGTCAACATCACTCACCAAACCTGAAATACTTTTAAGAAATGCAGATATAATTTCCTTCTCGCCAGCACTTTGCCCTCCTAGTCACTACTTGCTTTACTTCAAAATGTGTATTTTAAGCCTCTAAGGTATGCAAAATAATACATCCCTAGAATTAAACAGCGCCATGATTTACTTCCACAGGCAAAACACACCTTCAACTAAAACGTGCTACTTCCACAATAAAATATACTTTTTTTTTTTTTTTTTTTTTTTTTTAAAAGAGGAGAGAGGGACAGTAACCCCTTCAAAGGTAAGGCTGAAGGTATAGCCAGGGAAAAAAGAGGTCATTTTTACAAACCACTCCTCACAAATCTAAGTAAGCTAGGCATGTATTATTCCTATTTTTTACAAAGAACTGAGGCACAAAAGTGACATGACTTCATTATGGTTACAGGATAAATCAGTGATAAGAACTGCAGTTAGTTCCTGYTTTCCAATCATACGATCATGTCATTAGACCTTAGTGCCTCAGAGAGAACAGGGCAGGTATAGAGCAAGAAAAAGGTGAAACAAGGCAAGTTTGTTTTTATTAAAACCGCTAGCTTAGCTGGCAGTACATCTTCTTTAAAAATTTAGGGGCTTGAGTGAAGCCCCTCCAAAGAACTGGTTATAGGCTGAAGTATGCTTGGTGGGGTAGAGTGATTATGCAAGGTAGAATATTTAGAATTTTAAGAAAAAACCCTCTAGAAGATCAAAATGTTTACATTGTAATTTGCCACTTTGACATTTTCTTAAGTATTTTAAGTTTTGTACAAGGCCTGTTTTCACTTTTGCTTCTTGCACTTTGTATTCAGAGTAGTAAACCTCGATGAGGCTGTTTAGCTCCCTCATTCTTAGGGTAAACCATTAACATAAATTAGAGCTTCCAAAAGACATTTAAGTGTGAAAATATTYAATCCACAAAATGTTGAGTTAAAACTGAATGGGCACATGCACATGTTTCTATTAAAATCTAAACTTAAAGAACTTAAAAAGATGATTCAAAATTACATAACCAAAATACATGATAGCATTTCCTTCAAGCTACATAAACTCATGTCTCTCAAAATACAAATACCAGCATCCTTAAGGGATAAGAGACTAAAAACTCTCCTTACTTTGCCAGCCGTAAGCCATACTGCAATTTAATAATATGAGCATGAGGGCCACAAACCCATCACACAGGGCCACTAGCTGATATGCCCAAGAGGTCAATAGAGACAAGGCATTTCCAAGACAGCACACGACCTTGGCAGCTCACCTATTCCCAGTGAAGGTTTCCAAAGCTGCCTAGAGAAATAGGGCTGATGCACAGCACGTTTCTGACTGCTCTGGAGTTGAAGGCTTGCAAATAAAGGATTTTTATCTTTATACAGAGTCAAACAAATGTAACTTTTTTTTTTGTATCTTACAGCTATTCTGTGGTAAAACTAATATTCCTAAGAAAGAAGGCCAGATCAGAGTTTCCAATYGGTTATCGGTCTGCAGAACGGAGGAAGCAAAATTCACAGTTTAGGACTAAAAGCCCAAAATATATGCAGAAGGAAGGTTTTTTTTAAACTACAGACTTCCCTACAGTTTTGTGAACTGTAGAAGGAGCAACAAAAAACTTTTGGGGAGTGCTTGTGGTGGAGACCCATGCAATAACCCTACCAAGCCCTGAGCTAAACAGAACCGACATGCTTCATCCTAAGACACTTTCTCCACTGACATTTAGGACTGCAATTCACCACCAGTCTATCATTACCTCCAGATACAGATTTGAAATAAAAGAAGATATAACAACAACAAAATCAAAACCTTCTTGAAATAAGCTCTGTTTTCATTTAGGGCTACAMAAAAATTAGCCGAATTCTTTATTCCACAAATAGTGAAACCACTCTCCCACAACAGTAATGGGTACATGATCTTCAGTCTACTTCAAGTCCATATAAAGTCTCATTTATTTAGATTCCAAACATGTGCTTTCCAGTGATGCTTGTGGTTCAGGCTCCAACTTCTCCGGGAATTCTAGCTTTTCRCAAATGGTCTCCTTTATGGGCAGATACTGAGAGATCTCATTAGGTTCCGTGAACAGAGAAGGTGGAACATGCTAAGAAGCAAAAGTTTTACATGAAACAAATGAAAAATTTAATAAAGATGAATTTCACAAGCAGAGTTCTGGGCACYTTAATCTAAAATTCACCTTAGTTTTGAACACTTGAAGTCACGTATCACTATTAAAATTTATAACTTTAAATGTACACACATTTAAACAAACTATCCACAAACTATCAGAGAATTCAAGAGGAGCTACAATGTTTTAAATCACATTTATCATTTCAATGTAACTAGCAGTCCATTTTTTGGCCTATTCAAGATGACACAAGAGCCTCATGAGATCCCATGGTTAACGCCTTCCAGCAACTGCAGTAGAGTTGCTGGAAGTCTTCAGATTCAGCTATAAATTATCATGCTTTTCTCAGCATAGATCTCAGTTTTACTAAGTCCAAGACTACCATTGTTTAGACATTAATATGAATTAGTGATTGCAATTTCATACTTGAGTAACTTATGAAATAATAATTTCATCTGCATCTTTCTCTGCAGATGGCACAGCTTTACCACATACAAAATATCTGAAAAAGAAAGCTAGAAAGCTTGAATGTGGTGTGCCCAGAATAAAAACCTTCTATAGTGTAGAAGCGTATCCAAAATAACTAAAAATGCAACCCATATTTTTGTCTAATCCTAATATGCAAGGAATCACACTGCTGTTCCAACTACTGCAAATCTAAGCAAAGCAGAAACCTCCCTTTTTCTCCTCTACGTTTGCAAGCTAATTTGGGAAGTTATATGGGGAAAAAGTCCATATATTTCCTCTCCATTAGGAGATCCAGAAAAATATTTAACCGCATAGGGGATCATTTTAAAGTATGAGGTAAAAGTATGATCTATGTCACTTAACTTATATTTCAGAAAACAGAAAACTATCAAAAGGCTTATAAGTRGAGTTAATGTGTTTTATGCGGATCATATTATCAAGGAATGATATAACGTGCGCTTTGAAAATAAAAGTATTTTGCGAATATTTCCTTGGTAGCTTGTTAACACATTCGTCGCTTTTTAAGAGATGAATTAAAACAGAAGAGAAAGAAAATAAGCAGAATATCCATGGTCACAGTGAATAAAATTCAACAATTGCAACTCTTAAGGTGCTAACGTGAGCTATTACACTTGCACCAGAAAAAGTGAACGAGTCTGTGTTAACAAAAATCTTAACCACAAATACTGCTGGGAAACACATAACCAGCCCTGAAATTCTTGAATACAGAAAACGGAGTGCCCGATTTTATGGCTGAACAGTTCTGTTTGGAAGTCTGATAACTCTAAAGCAGAAATAGTAAATCTAGTCCCTATTCTGTCATGTGATTTTTGGGGTTGATCATTTAGAAATTGTAGTCCGCCCTGAAATAAGCCCTGTACAAGTAGAAGAGGTTTACTTCTCCAGAGGTTCAAAACCTAACATATACATTATATGTTACAGACTTACATATACCGTATATCCCACACTGATCATAAAACCAACAAACCAAATATATATATATATATATTTAAAAATACCTTTAAACTTGATATTTTGCTTTCTCTGGATGTATATTCTCGTAACATGTAGGCCTTGTCAGCCTAATGGGAAAAAAAATGCAAAAAATAATTATAAAAATATAATTTATTATCAGTGCAAGATGAGCTCTGTAAATGCACTGGTTTTGGTAATCATTAGAATTTGTTTAATCAAAGATTCTCACCTGGGGGACAAGAGGAAGGACTGGAAGAAGGTTTAGCAATCTTGGTTCCTTCCCCAAAGTCCCTTTTCTGTTCACAAGAGAACTATGATTAAATATACCTGCTAATTTTAACTCAGCTGAAACTCCTATAATCAGTATTACTGGAGCTAAACAGAAAAAGCAAATCACAATTATACATTCTATATTGTTTATAAGATGCCTAGACTCGGTGTTGTATGGACAGTTATTTGCAGGGTGGAACTTGTAGCCACACAATGGACAAGTCAAGAAGATATACCTGGAAGCCAGGAGTTTATAAAATACAACTGAAAGTTCAATTCAGCAACATTTACTCCTCAAAACATCAGTATTAGGTTGCAAGAATAACAGCAGGTCTTCTCTGAAAGCAATACTTAAAGGAAACATCTGTAAAATGCAAACAATATAAAGAATAAGTGCTTACCTCATGGTGAAGTCTTGTATCATTCATCCTGATGAGCACACCATCAACTCGCAAGAAAAATCTCAATAACACAAAAAAGCTGGAAGGCATAACTCTCTGCAAAAATAAAGATATTCATTTCAGGATATTGCAAAATTCTTACTTTAGGAATGCGCTTTTTAGGTCAGAAGCTCAGAAATACTGAAGCAACCAAKAAAACAAGACGAATATATCATAGCTTTCAATAGCATTATAATTGCAAAATTATAAAGATTATAAAATTACAAAAACAAAAGAACAAAACAAAAACAAACAAACAAACACCACACACAGCCCCACACTGCACTTACATTTTCAACTTTAAATCCCAGAAGGAATAAAGGCAAAAACGACTACATTTTACATGCATAAACCAGCTGGGTGAACAAGCCTCTTGCACGCACCCCTCAGTACTCACTATTTTAACACTCAAACTAGATACTCCATGATCATGAAGTTCATCTTCAAACAGAAGGACTTCCTCAAARAACATAATTTGCTCCCTGGCTTTCAATTTCTCTGTGTTTATATGTTCCTTTGTAGGTACAACCTGAAGAACAAGATAAGAATGTTTAGCACCTTGATTAGATGTCAAGATATGTAAAACTATGCATCTTGAAAATGCTACACTTGATAAATTTCTAAAGGGAAATACTTTAGAGTGGTTGGCTAAAGACATACAGAAAAGATAAAGCTAACACCAAAGTTTTCAAGAGGAAATGTTAACCACACAAAAATCCAAAGTGGAAAATTCTGAAAAAAATCACCTCCAGGAAACAGGCTTGTTAAGGTTTCAGTTGCAACAATTCTGCCTGCAATCTGCATTTAGAAACATCAGAAGAAATTCCAAGTTTAACATATGATTGGCAATTCTAGGTTATCAGTAGTAYTCTGCACACTTGCCATTTCTAGAAAACTAGAAGCCCTGAATAGCTCTGTAATAAAGTCTTCACAAAAAGAAATAGTATTTTTTCCATCTTGTGCTCTCTATGCAAATTCATACACTTCTGCCCCTAAAGACTTTGAGTACACAAGCTGGTAGTTTTATCTTGTACTTTCAATTCTGAAGTAACTTATCTACAACTAAATCAATTCTAGTGAATTAATATACTGCTTAGTAACAGCAAATAGAAATTTGGAACATCAATCCTTCTTCAAGTAAATAAAGACAAGGGAAGATCTGTCACATTTTAAATATGAGTTACTTTTTCAGAAAAACAAAGCCACTGAACGCAGGCAGACCTGGGTACCTGATCACAAAACCCACAGCAAGCAACACAGAGTAAAGGTACCAGAGAACTATGCAGTTGAGACTGATTGTATCTGAGAAGCTCAGGACTTCAAAGAGGGATTTGGGAAGCACAGAGGATTCTTGTGAGCTTTACATCTTCAAAGGAGTTCTTAAACAGGGACATTTTTTTTACATAAGATGCTTAAAAATTTAAGATGAGGCATAATTCAATAAAAAAAAATTAAAAGGACCTCTGAGACATGAATAGCCTAAAATATACTTTGAAGTCTGAAACTTTTCAGTTCTGTGAACCATATAAGATTTTATATAAGCTTCCTGAAAGGGAAACCATAGTTTAAAAAAGTGCTCGACTGAAACACTATGTAATAAACATTTAAGGAGAAAAATAAGTCACCTTTAATGTTACAGTGTCTCCCAACAATGTTCCTTTGTAGTCCGTTGTGTAAGTCCAATCATATGGTTTGACAACTTCCTTAGTGTGCTCAGGTTCACTCCTTAACAAAGGAAAAAGGATTCAGCATGCTGTGTCATCACTCTTTGAAGAAATTACAACCTCACATAAGACTCATGTCCCCATTTTTCAGAAAGTTAAACATCGTCCATGCTAGAATTATGTCAAGATCAAACTACAGTGTCACTGCTTTCACAAGATCTATGTTATTCGGCAAATTATGAAAACAAGATCAGAATTTCCATGCAAGTCCTATCTTAGTCCTACCAGTTAAAATAAAGGTTTTACTTCATGTTTTTGAAAATTCTATAGCTCAACATCCTTTCTTCTTTAAGGGACAGAAAGCAATGCGCAGACAACTCGCAGCTGTTAAAATTGATGTGTAGTGTTAACAGTTGCGGGTTGTCTGCACATTGCTTTCTGCTCCTTAAAGATCAACAATCAAAATTGTTGTTAAAATTAATGTGAAGTATAGTGTTAATAACAATTTTGATTTCTCTTCATGATTTATTCATAGGTGCTCTCCCACTAATTTGCTAAGTACTAGGCAGTACAATTAGTTTTTATGCATAGTAATTACTCTTGAATGTGTACAGCATTTTGCACTTTGAACGTCAAAGGACACAGTCTTGCAATACTTAGGACCTTATGATTTTGAATAGGAACAAGATTAAGTCATGTTAGGTGCCAATTTATTTTAAGAAAGTTTCAATATAACTTAAAAATATAATTAGAAGAGTTCAACAGATAGGATGATTATGTGAAAAAAAAATAGATGACTTTTACAATCCCATGGTACATCTATGGCAGGAAGAAATGCAACATGATATTCAAGATTTCTACTTCTCAGCCTGTACCTTTAACCGCTTTATCCCAGTTTCCCCTATAAAACACCAGCACTTGCCCACTAGTTACAAAATACTGTACCTGCTCTCTTGCCACTCCTCTGCACAAGCCACTTTGATCATACCTTGGCAATTATTGACACATTTTAAAGCATCTGTTGCATTGAACTCAATTCCAAAACCACGGTCATGTTGTATTCTTAGAATATTGTCTCCAAACATCATTTCTGGCAGGGAAGGCATGTGCAATTCGTCAGCCAACCTGCACAGAGAAAGGAAAAGCTTAGATGAAGAGACATTCTGTGTGGGCACCAGCCACGTAAAAACAGGCTATGTCTTTGAATAAGGAAGTATAGTTTGGACCACAATTACWTGAAAGCGATAATATCAATATGGTTTTACAAAATTTTGTTATTTTCCCCTATTTAAAAGTGTCATGAATTGCATCATTGATCAAAAGTGTCTTTTCCAGTGTAAGAGTATTCCTAAATCTCTCTCTCTCACACTTTATCATATGGGGGAAAACAGAAGTATCAAAGTAGCATAATTTTAGCACCTGCCAGACAACAGAGAAAATCCTGGATGGTCCATGAGCTACATCTGCAGGTTCTTGAGTAATCATTTAAAGAAAGAGCACTTATCCCCAGCAAGTTTAAATCACTACACAGCAGGCCATACTTCTATCCATAGAAGCCTACAAGAAGAGGCTGAAAACAACCTGAGCAGACTACGTTATTCTCTACAAGGTTAGGAAGATAGTGATTCAAACATAGCAATATGCACTAGTATTAGCAAACTCCAAGCACACAAGCCACCGATTTTACACGTAAACACACACGCACACACTTCATATCTACACTGAACACATCCCCCACAAGGCTTCATGAACTTCCACCCCATCTCTACCTAACTGCTTTAGCTTAAAAAGAACAAGAACTTTGAAAGGAAGAAAACCTTAAAAAATATATCTAAATAAAAGGAAGAAGAAAATTGCACCTCACAACTTTTCTTTTGATAAATAGTGAGATGTTTCTGCAAGAAAGTGTTATTTCTGTAGCAGTGCATACATTACACTGACAGATTTGAAGTGAAAATAGCAGATTCACAGACCTGATGAATAAAGGTTTTCCTAGAGCAGGTCGCCTAAAATTTTAAGCTACCCATTTCATCCAGTGCAGCCCCTCATGCTGCAAAAAACAACTCTAGCCCGTTACAGAGCTCGGCACCTATGGCATATTTAATCCTTCACCTTCTTCACAGGTTGCTCAGGGTTTTTTGTGGCATATGTTTGCTAGAAATAAAAGTCCTGCAGGGAATAACTATGTTATCCAAGTAATAAAATACCAGGCAAAATTCCAATAGAAAATGGGGAGTGCCTCTTCAGATTTGATGCAGAGGAATTGTTTCTTCTTCGGACTCTCATGCCAAGAGCCAAGATCTGCTCGCAAACAGCTAATTTTGGTCTTCCCTACCCTGCAAAGTCTTTTCTGTTCTTTCAGTCTTGAAAAACATGGAGAAGAATGAAGATAATTTATTTAGGAATGAAAGAAAGCAAGATTACCAACATAATTGTTTATTATAAAGCAGCTACAGTTTAAAAAAATCSAAGAGTTTAGAAGAGGGGCACAGGATATAACCTGGCTTCTAGATGACTGTTCAACCCTAGCTCCAGGTCACACATGATGAAAAGTGAACATCCTCCTGACTGTAAAAACACAGATCCTCATCTTTGTGAACTAGCATCTTGCAAGAAAAGTCTTCACAAACACATCTGAAAAATGGGATATAGTATAGCCCAGATAAAGTTGAACTGTATGTATTGTCCTCTTTACAGGAGGATCATTAAAATATAAGTTTTTTTATGTAACTACAAGAACATTGAAGCCACTCAGTGATTGTTTTATCCATTGAGCATAGGATAAAGAAATGAATGTCATCCACCTAAAATAAAAAAATAAGTGTGTGTTTATGTGTGTGTATATATTTCTTTTTTCTTTACATAAAACAGGGGAGAAAAGCGTAAAGCTTCAAGAGATGAGAATTTAGCAAACAGGCTTACTCTGAGAGAAGTTACAAGCAAGATGAACCTAAACACATTTAGGATGACTACTTGAATTCCCATCTATTTACTACAAAAACACAAACAAAGTGGGATCTGACCAATTCACCTGCCTGTAAGCAAGGCCATGGCTCTAAACAGCTGAGCTGGCCAGWGCTACAGTAGCAAATTTGACTTCAAGTACCTCATGCTGACAGGGGCATTCTCCCAACTGTTTTTTTACAGCAGTGGAAGCAACTACTACAATCACAGAATCACAGAATATTCAAGGCTGGAAAGGACCTCTACAGATCATCTAGCCCAACCTTCCTGCTCAAGCAGGCACACCTASAGCATGTGGCACAGGGCGGCATCCAGGTGGGTTTTGAAGACCTCCAGAGAAGGAGACTCCACAACCTCCCTGGGCAGCCTGTTCCACTGCTCTGTCACCCTCACAGTAAAGAAGTTCCTCCTCACCTGGAGACGGAACTTCTTATGCTCCAGCTTGTGGCCATTACCCCTCGTCCTGTCGCTGGCCACCAGTGAAAACAGCTTGTCCCCTTCCTCCCTGCATTCTCCCTTCTTGAACTTACACACATTAATCAGATCCCCTCTCAGCCTTCTCTTCTCCAGAGAAAACGGGCCCAACCAGAAAGTATTTCCTGCATTCTTAATGAAATCCACTACCTTAAAAGGGCCATTAGCATTGAACAGTTTATAGGGATCAATAGGCTAGAACTGATAAGGCCCTTAATTATTCATTAAAAAAAAATTTATTGAATAAAACAAGCTTGCAGGCTCACAGAAGCCCACATTTCCAGCAACAAAAACGTAAACAGTTACTAAATATAATAATAATAGGTTATTAATATAATAATTATTAACAATTTTTATTATTATTACAAATGTAACGCCTTTTTATAACCTGAACGACCCCCCTTCTCCAGCCAAAGCCCCAAGGCTGCACTCGCAGAAGGAAGGAGGGCAAAAAGAAGGAGCTGCAGGGAGCCAGAGCCCTTCTCCCGCCTTAGGGGCCCCGCTCACTTCGCGCCGCCCCGGTCCGGTCCGGTCCCTCCTCACCTCTCGGCCTGCGCCGACTTCATGATGTGCGTGCGGGCGGCGCTCAGCTTCCACGGCCCGAAGGTGAAGTCGCGACGGCTGCTCTGGAAGACGGGGTGCATGATGATGGCGACGGCCCCACCGAGCAGGAAGCAGCGGCGCGAGATGGGTGCGAGAGGCTGCAGCTGCCGTTAGCCCCGCCCCGCCGGCGGCCGCTAACGCTAACGGCGCCGCTAACGCCTCCGCGCGCTTCCGCTTCCAGGTCGCTCCGCGCGCAGCCGCAGGAGGCGCCACATACAGGGCGGGAGCGGAAAGGCGGCCGCGCATGGCACGTGACGTCGCGTGAGGGCGGCCAGGGCGCCATGATGAACGCGGGCAGACGCCCGAAGTCCCATAAGAAAGGGTCGGTGGAAGCACCTAAAAACTTATCGGGATGGGTGGATGCGCGCGCTCTGCTGTTTGAAGAAGTACTTTCTTTTTAAGCATCGCCAGAAGGACAGAACTCCCCAGGAAACTTGCGTAGTGCATGAGCCCCGCTTGCTGCTCTGGAAGGTGACGGCATCGCCGCCCGGGGAACGCGACACGCGGCTCTCATGGAGCTGCGGCGCTCCGAGAACCGTCGTCTCGTCCTGAATTACAGAGCGAGGCAAAATCCTGGATTGCAGAGCCAAGCTGCTATCGGGAGCGGTTGTCCTCTGTACTAGGGGTCTTGCCGGGATACAGGGAAGCTCAGAATTAGGAATGCATGGGAGAGAAGGAAAAAAAAAAAAAAAAAAAAAAAAGGATTTGGTTTAGGAAAAAACAAAACATTGGGAGAAAGGAAAAAAAAAAAAAAAAAAAAAGAGTTTTGTTTAGGAAAAAAAAAAACATTGGGGGAAAAGAAAAAAAAAAAAAAAAAAAAAACTAGGAAAAAGTCTAGCGGTCGGGCTCTGTCCCGCTTTGTGCCGCTCACTCGTGCGTGGTGTTTGGGTGTCTCTTTCGCCTCCTGCTCCGCGCAGCGCCCGCCCGTCCCCAACCCGCGGCGTTCGGGTGGGTAACGAGGGGGGACGGGCGCTGGCGGGGGCGGCCCGGCTGCCCCTGCAGCCGCTCCCGAGGCCGCTCCGGCTGCGGCCGGGGGCAGGAGGCAGCGCCCGCCGAGGGGCCGGCGGGAGGCGGAGCGGGCGGCGGGGGAGGCAGGGCCGCGGCTTGGGGCCTCTCTCCCGGCGGCGGGGGCGCCGTGACCCGGCACGTCCCGGCCTGGCGGCGGCGCGGCGGGGCGGTGAGTGCGGCGGGCGGGGCGCGGCGCACGGGACAACGGCCGTTAGGCGGCCGTTACGCGCGGGGGGGCGGCCGTTACGCGGGAGGCGCGGCCGTTGCGCGGCCCGCCGAGACGAGGCGAGCTGAGGATGCCCGGCCTGGTGGAGGCTGCTCCCCGCCCTCCGCCTCTTTCCTCTCGCCACGCGTTGTTGGCGGCTGAGGGGGCAACACGGAGGCTCTTGCCGCTGCCTCCCCACAGCGTGGGGAACCGGGGGTCGTGGCTGCGCCCCACCACCTGCGCTCTGCCCTGTCCCGCCGCGGCGCAGGCCCCGAGGGGCTCCGCGGGATGCGGTGTCCGCCCCCGGCGCGTCCAGCCCTTGCGGCCGCACGTGGTTTTGATCGGGCAGGCAACGCTGTTGGCTTTCAAGGGCTTTGCTCGCGAGCGAGTGCCAGCCTTGCTGCTCCTTGCGTCTCTGCACCCCCCTGTGCGGTGGACAGTGCCCGCAGCACTGGCCCCGGGCAAGGAGGCTCGCTGATTCCTCTTCCCATTAGTCCCACATGGGCAGTTGCCCCAGTGCACTGGGGCCTGCAGAGTCTGGTCCTGGGGCTGTGCCCTGCTGGCTGGTGGGCAGGTTTGTTAGGTGCTTTCTCTTCCTTTTTGGGTAGCTCAAGGTTGTATGCTGCCCTTAAAGGAAGGGTTGGAGAGTGGGACCTGGGTGTCGCTCCTGTCAGGAGAGGCTGTAGCTGGTCCTGGAGACTCCCTTTCCTAAAGTCTGTAGGTCTTAAAAGGCGTTGGRAAGACTCACGAAAAGGACTGCAGGCACATTTAGAGAGAAACTTCAAGCGAAAAACTGTTGCCACAGTTGACATACAGTTTAACTAGAGAAGAGTTAATCTAGATTTTACAGAGCATGGCTCAATGATGTCTTCATTTAGACCCTTAGCAAGGCACACATAGAAATTGAAAAAATGTGTGTCTGCAGCCTGACAATGTTGCCTAAGGCCACGACAGCCTCACAGATGGAAGAGGCTTTTGAGCACTCCTGGCCTCTTGGGAACAATAGGGGTGGGCTCAGGCGCAGCTGAGATGCCCTTGGTGGGTCACCAATTTCCCAGAAGTGCTAATATTAACTTCACAACTTTGCATTACTTGGCAGACTTTTTTTTTTCTTTTTAAGTTTTTCAGTTATCATATGTGCATTTTTGATGTGTTTTTCTTTTTTTTTTTCTTTCTTAGTGTGCTGGCCTGCAGATGGATGAAGGACTGAATGAAGCAGGTAGGAATGCCTGTGGCAGTCAGGCTGCTGCAGAGCTGGGGGAAATACTGAGGTGGTGAGTGAGGGTGAGCGCTGTGGTAGCCAAGGTGGTGGTGTATGAGAAGAGGTGACATTAGGGGACATGGGAGCATTGCTCCCTGATCCTTCAAATGTCACCTAGCAACTGTCACAGCGGGATGGGGCTAGCCAGGCATCCACAGACTACCAGAAAATGCTACATAGGCAGAATGCAATGTCAGGATAAGCAGGCAGGAAAGAAAAAGTGCTTTTTTATTTGACGGGAACAAAGACTAATAATGACATCATTATTTTTTTCTTTAAAGCCTAGATGAAGGGACTGAGTGAGATGCACAGCTGGTAAGTATGGCTCATCAGTGCTTTGAAGCAAATAAGATCCCTAGAAAAATATTACGTACAATGTTTTAATTTTCTTCCATGTTTCTTCCTTCCTCCATCCCTTTCCATCCACCTCTTCCTGTTTTTCACTCAGTTTCTTCCCTCTTCTCAATTTACCTCTGTCATTTACCTCTTTGGTGTGCCCGTGGGCAATTTCCTGCCCCTTTATTTTCCTCTAAAATGATTTCCCTGTCTTACAGGTAAGGTTAATTAATGCAGGTAGAAGAGCTCTTGATCTTTGGAGAGAGTGTGAGGAAATATCTCCTGAATGTCTCTGAGTGTTGTTTTTCTGCTTCTAGCTGCTCAGCATGCCTTGGCTGCTCCGGCTCTGCACGCTCTGACCATGAGCAGCAATTCCTCCCTCATCCATGTGAAGGGCCTGAGGAACCTCACCACTCTGGAAAACGGGGCTATCAGAGTCACCGAGTCTATTGCAATAATCGTCATCGCCATTTTCATCTGCCTGGGCAACCTGGTCATTGTTGTCACCCTCTACAGGAAGTCCTACCTTCTCACACTGAGCAACAAGTTCGTCTTCAGCCTGACCCTCTCCAACTTCCTTCTCTCTGTTCTGGTGCTGCCTTTTGTTGTCACCAGCTCCATCAGAAGGGAATGGATCTTCGGAGTCGTCTGGTGCAACTTCTCAGCCCTACTCTACATGCTGATCAGCTCAGCCAGCATGCTCACTCTTGGACTCATAGCCATAGACCGGTAAGCAGCTCTTTCATACTGAAAACAAACTGCGCTAGTTGTTTTGTGGAGTGACTTCTTGTCTGTTCACAGCGTTGGGAAGCGTTGCAGGGAGTCACTGCATGTTACATTATAGTGACTCACCCGTAATTTAATTCACCCCCCCCACACACACAGTGAGACAGAAGAAAGTGTTTCCATTGATAATGCAAAATGCTGTCATATATCGAGTTTTTTGAAGCTGTTGATGGTATAATAATGTATTGCTTGGGAAACAGTAAGTGAACAAAATTCCGAATATCCCTTCAGCATGCATCATGCAGGGAGATGGAGTTAACAGCTATATCTTTGCTTTCAGGTGACTTCTGGTCTTGCCTTCAAGGATGCAATTATTAAATCTATTCACAATGTCAGGACCCTGTGTCATGTGCTCTAGGTCCCTGCTTGAGGAGGGGAGTTGGACTAGATGATCTCTAGAAGTCCCTTCCAACCTCAACTGTTCTGTGATTCTGTGAAGTCCCAGAGCCTACCTTAAGGTTTTGAGAAAAGAGCTTATTCCACAAAGATGACTAGATATCAATATCATTGAAATGTGTACTTTTCTCACTGTACATTTTCTGTGCTGCTGCTGACTCATCCTTTTTGTCCACAGGTACTATGCTGTGCTGTACCCGATGGTTTACCCAATGAAGATCACAGGCAACAGAGCAGTGGTAGCTCTCGTGTATGTGTGGCTGCATTCCCTTATTGGCTGTCTCCCTCCCCTCTTCGGCTGGTCCTCGTTGGAGTTTGACCAGTTCAAGTGGATGTGCGTGGCAGCCTGGCACAAAGAGGCTGCCTACACTGCCTTTTGGCAGATCTGGTGCGCGTTGCTGCCTTTCCTGGTCATGATGATCTGCTACGGATTCATATTCCGCGTGGCTAGGATTAAAGCCCGCAAAATCCATTGCGGTAGCGTAGTTATTGTGGAAGAAGACTCCCAGAGGAATGGGAGGAAGAACTCCAGCACCTCCACATCCTCTTCCGGCAGCCGGAGGAATGCTTTCCAAGGAGTCGTCTACTCTGCCAACCAGTGCAAAGCTTTCATAACCATCTTGGTTGTTATCGGGGCTTTTGTGATTACATGGGGGCCTTACATGGTAGTAATTACATCAGAGGCACTCTGGGGAAAGAACAGTATTTCCCCTGCCTGGGAGACCTTAGCTACGTGGTTGTCCTTTTCAAGCGCCATTTGCCATCCACTGATTTATGGACTGTGGAACAAAACAGTGCGCAAGGAGCTGCTAGGAATGTGCTTTGGGGATCGCTATTACCGTGAGTCTTTTGTTCAGCGGCATAGGACGTCAAGGCTGTTCAGCATTTCCAATAGGATTACAGGTATGAGACCCCAGAACCTTCTCTCTCAAGCTCTTTTTCATATGTGCTTATTATAGTTTCATGTTATCCACATCTGAGCACTACCAATAGTRTACTCTGTGGCACTCATGCTCTGATTCCTGGCTTTATGCTACAGTTCCCAGAGGATCAGTGAAGTTAGACTGKTGTTGATTTTCTAAAAATTCAGTTT